ATGACTCCTTAGAAACCTCCTCCATAAACCGGTCACGTTCTTCTCCCACACTATATGCTCACTGGGAGATCCCCATCAGAAATTCCTCAACGTCACGGAGCTGAAGCCGCAACGGGTGTCGCCCTCGGATACTATCTTCCTCGGGGACATCTGGGTTTTGCTTACCTCAGCCCGGGCCAACCTCATAATCCCGGCCACCGTCGATGCCAGGAGGGACCCTCAGCAGCTTTCCGACCACGTCAGTCGGTGAGTGCACAGTCATAGCGAACCAAACGAGGCCACGAGTTTCGTACCTACCACGTCGACAGGCCCTCACTAAAAGAGCCCCAACAAGTTTAAGAGGGGATGTTAACGATACTTATCTTTATTTTAAGATTAGGATTGGTTATTTAGTTATTTCTCTTTATTAATAAGGGTATATTAGTCTTTTATTATTATGCTTGTAGGGCTATATAAACCCCTATTTGTTAGTTTATTTTAATGAATTAGGTTTTCTTTGTAATTCGAGTTAAACTTTGTCAATATATCTCTTTTTTTTCTTCTTTTATTTTGCGTTGGGTATTTCGCACACAGCTACCTTTTGAAATTTAAATTTTTTATGAGAGAAAAATATTATAACATTATCAAAGACCATTATTTGAACCATACAAAATTCTTAAAATAAATAGATCTAACAACTAATTCAAAAACGTTCCTATTAGAAATTAACAGAGGAACTGTGTTTATAAATGAGAAGCGAACTCATAGTTGTGACTAAAATTTAATACTGTGTAACAACCCATATTCTTATAGGTCTGTCAACAGCAACCTTAAGGTCAACCTTGCATTCCACTTTGGGGACAGACTGATAACCATGAGATCCCTTTTTCAGCATACTAATTAAGCCACGTTTGTTGTCGAAATTCCTTCATCAGGAAAGTTAGTATGGAAGAAGTAGAACGTAATATCCATGAGACCATCTGTAGGGGAAATTTTTTTGGCTGAGACACCCGTGGGTGAAATTTGCAATCATTTTGTAGTAATTGTATAGTACAACTCACCAATAGATAAGTTCGTTGTCGTTTTTAATTTGTGTTGAACGACTATTATTGCCCTTTAGCGCCCTTACATGCCCTCAATGAATTTTGGTGGTAGAATGACATTTTTCTTATTAAATAATTTAATGTCATTTTAATTAATGTCCAAGACTCGGAAGTTGACCCTTTTAACTCACTGTTGTCGTCTCGGCACAAAGATTATTCTCTAAATTATTGTTGTTTCTTATTTTCATATCGTTTTCTGTCATTGTCGTTGATTCACTTCATATTGTTTTCTATGCTCATATTGCTTTTCTATTTTATGTCATTTTTTATCATGTTGTCGTTTTACGGTTCATACCATTTTTCGCTTTAAAGTTATTCCTGGTTAATATCTTTTCTATATTTTAGTCGTTTTATCTACGGTGTTGTCGTTTCCAATAGATTCTCTTTTCTATCATATTTTACTGTATTATGTTATGTTGATGTCATTTTCACATGGTTCTCGTTTTATACTTAATATGTGAGTGTGTTTTCCCTCGGCACTTCCAACCCGACCCGCTTCCCATGTAGCAACCTCAAAATCAACCCAAGATCCGCACTTGCCCTGGCAAACAAGACCAATGGCTTCCCAAACCCGAGCGCCTCGATAACGGAGCTCCAACCGTAATGAGTCAAGAACCCGTCCACTGAAGAGTGGGCCAGTATACTAAGTTGTGGGGCCCAACCCCTCCACACCAAACCTCGCCCCGCGACTCGGGTTTCAAACCCGGGTGGAATTATTTCCGAACCCAATTACCCTTCCACAAGTGGGCGATCTTTAATGTCCCAAATAAAGGGCAATCCGGATTTCTCTATCCCATGAGCTAATTCGTGCATCAAATCCTGAGTCAGACTCACTTCCGTACCGAATGCGATGTAAAGGATGGAGTTCTCTTCCTTGCTATCCAACCACTGACTCAAAGTTCCTCATCTTTCATCTCCGCTCACGCCATGAAGGTGTCGTGGAGAAATCGGTAAGAAACTGATCGGAAGAACCGGTTT